AAAAAAAAAAAAAAAAAAAAAAATGGTGGCAGTCACTGGACGGTCGGCGAGTCTCGAGACCAGCCTGACCACATGAGAAAACCTGTCTCTTCCTAAAAATAACAAAATTAGCTGGGTATGGTGGTGAATGCCTGTAAATCTCAGCTTACTTGGGAGGCTGAGGCAGGAGAAATCGCGTTGAACCCGGGAGCAGAGGTTTTGCGTGAGCTGAGATGGCAGGCATCCATTACACTCCAGCCTGGGCAAACAAGAGCCCAAAACTCCATCTCAAAAATCAAAAAAAAAAAAAAAAAAAGAATCTTGGCCCATAAACATTAGCCATTGCTACTATTGTCATTATGATTTGGTCCATAAATAGAACCAGGGCTAGGGACAGTCCTCAGAAGAACAACTAGTTTCTCTCTAGAATTCACTTCTTTCTCCTAGCAAACTCCTACTCCTACGCATCCTTCAAAACCCAGCTCAAGGCAAGGCAAGGCGGCTCACGTCTGTAATCCCAGCAACTTTGGAAGGCCAAGGCAGGCAGAGTGCTTGAGCCCAGGAGTTGGAGACCAGCCTGGGCAACACGGCAAAATCCCCAATGTGTGCAGCACATTGTACTTTTTATTTTTCTACTAAAAATACAAAAAAAAAAAAAAAAAAGGCTGGGTTCAGTGGCTCACACCTGTAATCCTAGCACTTTGGGAGGCCAAGGTGGGCGGATCACCTGAGGTCAGGAGTTCAAGAGCAGCCTGGCCAACATGGTGAAACCCCATCTCTACTAAAAATACAAAAAAATTACCTGGGCCTGGTGGCGTGCAGCTGCAATCCCAGCTACTCGGGAGGCTAAGGCAGGGGAATCACTTGAACCCGGGAGGCGGAGGTTGCAGTGAGCCGAGATCATGCCACTGCACTCCAGCCTGGGCAACAAGAGCGAAACTCCGTCTCAAAAATCAGAAAAAGAAAAAAACAAAATTAGCCGGGCGTGGTGGGGCGCGGCTGTAGTCCCAGCTACTTGGGAGGCTGACACTTGAACCCGGGAGGCGGAGGTTGCAGTGAGCCGAGATCATGCCACTGCACTCCAGCCTGGGCAACAAGAGCGAAACTCCGTCTCAAAAATCAGAAAAAGAAAAAAACAAAATTAGCCGGGCGTGGTGGGGCGCGGCTGTAGTCCCAGCTACTTGGGAGGCTGAGGTGGAAGGAAGCCGAGGCTGCAGTGAGATATGATCGCGCCACTGCGCTCCAGCCTGGGCGACAGCGTGAGATCCTGTCTTAAACAAAACAAAACGAAAACAGCTCAAATAGCTCCGAGTTTTTTCTAAGCCTTTATTGAGCACTACTGTGGGTCAGGCTCTGGGCTTGACTGTAGTTGCAAGAGGGGCAGAAACGGGCTGCTCTTAGGACACTCAGGATAACACAGGCAGGAAGCGAGGGCATGCTGGAGAAAACGCTGGGATCAACACGCATCTGCCAGGCCCAGACGGCAGAGGGGGCATTGCTGGAAAGGCCGGGAGCCTCCCCTCTCAACCTCCCACCGAAACCCATCCCTCTTTTGGGAACTTGGTAGGCAATGAGGATGGGGCCTTAATTAAGTGGACGCCCAGTATGTGTATTTCACGGGCATTATTCCACTGGGGCCTCGCCCATTATCAGGACACCAGTTCTATTTTAACCCAGCGCTGAGGCTCTGAGAGGTCTGTAACATGGCCGAGAGCTCACAACCAGCGAAAGGCAGGGCTAGGATTCCAGGGCGTCTCACTGCGCCTCCCAAGCACTGGTGGAGGGGCGTCCGCTGCTCTCTGGCGCCCGCAATTGGCCGCCGAGGAAATGCGGCTGCGATGACCTGCTCAGACCCAAATCGGATGGAAGAGCAGGGAATAGCAGCGGTGGGGGTGGGGTCTGGACTTTTTTTTTTTTTTTTTTTTTTTTGAGACAGAGTCTCGCTCTGTCGCCCAGGCCGGAGTGCAGTGGCGGGATCTCCGCTCACTGCAACCTCCGCCTCCCGGGTTCAAGCAGTTCTGTCTTGGCCTCCAAAAGGTACTGCAGGCGGGCGCCACCACGCCTGGCTAATTTTTGTATTTTTAGTAGAGAAGGGGTTTCGCCACGTTGGCCAGGCTGGTCTCGATCTCCTGACCTTAAGCGATCTGTCCGCCTCAGCCTCCCACAGTGCCGGAATTACAGACGCAAGCCACCGCGTCCGCCCTACACCCTTGAAGACCCCGCAGCCAAGGTCCTCTGGCCCTGCTCTGCGCGGCGCTCTGGTCTTGGGGCTCGGGACTCTTGTTATCCCGGGCAGGGGCCAGTCCGACCCTTTCACCCTTGCCTGGCACCGTCCCTGGAGCCTTGGCGTCCTAGCTTCTCCTCCCCGCGGGCTGGGGATGGAGTAGCCGGGCCGGAACCAGAGCGCAAAGCAGATGGCGAGCGCAGAGGTCGGTTCGGCCCCGCCGCGCCGTAAGGCAGCAGCCACCCTGGGGAAGGTGGATGCCGGAAGGGGCGTCTCCTGCGGGTCACCCAGAGGACGGCCGGCGGGGAATTCCGAGGGTGGGAGTGAGGAGAGGTAGGAGAGGCCAGGGCAGAGCGAGGCCCCGCGTAGGATAGGAACCATCGCCCGGTGCGAGCCTGACCTACCAGGGCCGGCAACTCCTCGGCAGAGCGACAGCGCGGGGTCTCAGAGCGCGGCTCGGAGCCGCACTAGGAGCGCTGGACCGTGGGGGAGAAGCTCGGAGGGCGGGTAGCTCCCAGTAAAGCGGCCTAGCGGGTAGGTACAGGGCCCCTCCCCTCGCTAGTCCTCACTGCCCGTTCTCCCTGAGCCGGGGCGCTACAGGCCCCAGCCCTAACCCGGGCCCTAGCGGCTCCCCACTCCATGACCTCTGGACGCCCCGTCGGGTCTAGACGCAACAGGGAGGGTGCGGGCGACCGGGCAGAGGGGCCGCGGGAGTTCAAGCGGGGCTCCGTGCGCGCCCCAGCCGCCCGCCTGTGCTGTCCCTGCAGATGTCGGGAGCTATCTTCGGGCCCCTAGAGGGCCCGAGCTCCCTGGACGCCCCGAGCGTCCACCCGCTGGTGTGCCCGCTGTGCCACGTGCAGTACAAGCGCCCGTGTCTTCTGGACTGCTTCCACGACTTCTGCGCCGGCTGCCTGCGTGGCCGCGCGACTGAAGGCCGCCTCACCTGCCCGTTGTGCCAGTAAGTGTCCCAAAGTTCCCAAAGACCCCCCAGACCCCATCCCCGCAGCCCAAGGTTGGCTCTGCCCGAGCTGGGACCCAGGTGCCAGGAGAGTAAGGCTCCAACTTCAGGCAGAACGACTGGGAGATGCTGCACCCAGTCCTTAGCTCTCCTGGCCAGAAGTTGCAGGCTTCAGCCCATTTTATAGATCAGCTTAACTGAGGCCTGGAGATTGCAGTTACTGGCCCAAGACCTCCCATCAAAAGTTAGGGGGTAGGGGTGGGGCTCCAGCACTGGTCAAGACACTCCCAGTAACTCGCTTTGGGTCTTAGAAGTCTTAGGTCCACAAAACACAGTTACAGTTATGTGGACTCAAGGAACCCAGGAGTGGCTCTAATTTGCCCAATGTTGTGAGAGGATGCCAAGGGGCAGCTTCTGCTTTTGATACTAGGGGCACCAACCCCACTGTCTGCAGGAGTGCCCAGGACTGGGCAAGGGTAGGGACCAGGGCAGGGTGAGCACTGGCTGTGATATTTATAGCAAACCCCAGAGCTGTGGTGCACCCCACCTCCCAACACAGCTATTTGTAGCTCCAGCCTGGAATGTGAGGGGCGGGGGTGGGGAGCCTTGGGGAAGGGGTGTCAGAATCTCAGGGCCTGGGCTTCTCTGCAGACACCAGACGGTGGTGAAGGGTCCTAGCGGGCTCCCACCGGTGGACCGGCTGCTGCAGTTCCTGGTGGACAGCTCGGGGGATGGCGTGGAGGCGGTGCGCTGTGCCAACTGTGACCTGGAGTGCAGCGAGCAGGCAGGGGCGGCAGGGCGGGCGGGTGAGGAGTAGAGGGTACCAGATTACACAGTCCCCAATGCTTGCACATGCACCCAGCATATCTTCAGAGGATGACCTGGCAGTGGATTCTCCAGCACCTCCCTAGGGCATGTCGGCCCCGAATGTGAACCCCTTTTTGCCAGTGGGGAGACTGAGGTCCAGAACAAGGGACTTGAGCCAGTGTCCAGACAGTGGCAGGAGCTAAGGCCATTCGATCTGGGGAGAACTCACTGATCCCCAATTCAGGGTGGAGTTGTGGACCTGCACAGGAAGGGCAGTCCAGTTTGCAGGCCTGGGCCGACCCTGAAGGGCCTCTGCTACCCAAGTGGCATAGAAGCAGCTACAGCCCAGGGGAGATGGGGACAGCATGCTGTTCCCTCTGGGCTGTAAAGGGCACGAGGTACTCTGGCCTGTGGAGGCCAGAAAATGTATTGGGAATCCCAGGAGGACGGCCGGACCAGGGCAAAAGCTCCAGCCTTCAGGGCAAGTGCTGAGAAATGTGTGACCCAGAGGTACAGAGAGGATTAGCAAGAGGTAGGGACTGCAGGTAGGGCCTGTTATGTCAACCATTGCATGTGCCCATACCAGGGCTGCAAGCCAACCCTGGACTCCAGCCCTGGGTCTGGCTTGGGGAGGAGAACCTTAAAGCTCTCACTGCTCTTCCCCTCCCCCGCCCAGGTGTGACTCCAGACTGCCAGGGTGTTCACCACCTTTTGGCCACTATTGAGTGTGCCAAGAGGGCCGTGAGAAGCCTTCACACCCCTTTTGTTGCAGGTAAAAAAGACGGAGTCTTGCTTTATTGCCTAGGCTGGAGTGCAGTGACGCCAACTTGACTCACTGCAACCTCCGCCTCCCGGGTTCAAGTGATTCTTCTGCCTCAGCCTCCTGAGGAGCTGGGACTTCAGGCACCCGCCACCATGCCCGGCTAATTTTTGTATTTTTATTAGAGACAGAGTTTTGCCACGTTGGCCAGGCTGATCTCGAGCTCCTGACCTCAGGTGATCCGCCCGCCTCGGCCTCCCAAATTGTTGGGATTACAGGCGTGAGCCACCGCACCCCGCCTCGGTGAAATGTTTTATAAAGGCAGTTTCTGCCCTCTCTTCCTGTCCCCCACCCCACTCCACGGACCTACTTAATCAGCCTCTGAGCCGCAGTGCCCTCATCTGTAAACCGGGTATATCAGGGCGCCAAGTGCCTAGATTACAGGAAAGAGCTGCGTTTAGCCGCGCACTCCGCCACGGCTGGGACCAACACGCGCAATGACACCCGGCGGCTGCGGTTCCCGCGCCGGCCGCGGTCGGGCTCTGGCGCTCCTGAGCCCGCGCTCGGTCCGCAGGACGTGGAGACCACGTACTTCTGCAACACGTGCGGACAGCCCCTGTGCGCGCGCTGCCGCGATGAGACTCACCGAGCACGCATGTTCGCGCGCCACGACATCGTGGCCCTGGGTCAGCGAAGCCGCGACGTGCCCCAGAAGTGCAGTGAGTGAGGCTTGCGGGACCGGGGACCTGGGGGTGGGAACAGGGCGGGCACTGCCCGGAGCCCTCACCACCGCCCGCTGCCCCCGCAGCGCTGCACGCAGAGCCCTACCTCCTGTTCTCCACCGACAAGAAGTTGCTGTTGTGCATCCGTTGCTTCCGCGACATGCAGGGGTGCGTAGCGGGGGCGCGAGGGGAGGGGGCTGGGGGCGGCCGGAGCGGGCCTCACCCGCCGCCTCCCGCAGGGAGAGCCGGGCGCACTGCGTGGACCTGGAGTCGGCTTACGTGCAGGGTTGTGAGCGGCTGGAGCAGGCGGTGCTGGTGAGCGCGGGGGTCTGGCGCGCGGGGGCGGGGGTGTGGGGCCGCGCGGCGGCGCTCGCGAGCCTGACCCCGCCCTGTCCCCAGGCCGTGAAGGCCCTGCAGACGGCCACGCGGGAGGCCATCGCGCTGCTGCAGGCGATGGTGGAGGAGGTGCGGCACAGCGCTGCGGAGGAGGAGAACGCTATCCACGCCCTCTTCGGCAGCATGCAGGTGCGGGGTGGGGGTTGGGGAATAAACGACCCAGCCGGGAACTGGCGACACAGGGCCGGTCCCTAGGCCTTGTGGATTTCCAGCGTAGTGGGGCAGCAGGCCTTGCACCAAGCACTTTCCTGGAGTTGCTAGGACAACTGGGAGGGGAAACCAGGGCCTGCTCCAGGCTGGTGGTGGGGATGTGAGGTGGTCAGAAAAGACTTCCCTGGGGAGGTGACATTTAGGGTGAGAGGACCCAAGCCCTCAGGCAGTGGATGCAGGGCTGGTAGGTTGGAGAGATACCTAACCAGCAGGTGGCGGGGGTCCGGGGGGTAGGCATGGTGGGAGGTGGCAGGGCTGGGGCACAAATCAAGAGCATGCTCGCCATCTCTCCCAGGAGAGGCTGGCAGAGAGGAAAGTGGTGCTGCTGCAGGCTGTGCAGAGGTGAGCTGGGGGAGGGGGGCTTGCTTCCTTTGAAACCCCTTGGCCTCCATGCCCTCAGCTCCGAACCTGGGCATTCCACCCTGAGGAGCAAGACATCCGAATGTCCTCCCAGCTAAGGAGGGCAGCATGGCTCAGGGTGCAGAGAAGGGGTTCGGGGACGGACATGCGAAGATGGCTGGGGGGATGGAAATGCCCGTCCCCGCTCCTGGCCCCCTGGAGACCAGGCAGCCCCCTTCCCCCAGCCAATACGAAGAGAAGGACAAGGCCTTCAAGGAGCAGCTCTCTCACTTGGCCACCTTGCTGCCCACCCTGCAGGTACAGGGAGCTTGGGGTGCGGGTGGGTCCCTCCTCCCCGGCCAGGCACTGAGCAGCGTCTCCTCCCCCAGGTCCACCTGGTCATCTGTTCCTCCTTCCTCAGCTTGGCCACCAAGGCTGAGTTCCTGGACCTGGGCTATGTGAGTCTCCTCTGCTCCTGCAGATGCCCCCTCCCCACCAGGAGCCCACCCTGTAGACCAAAGCCACCAACTCAGGAGTGGGCAGCCTGTCACCTGGAGCCTGGTCCAGGGGTCTCGGGACTGACCCCCTCCCAACTCCATCATCTGCAAAGCAGTTAGGGCCACTGTTACAAGGACAGGGAAGCCAGGAAGGGGGCATGAGCCTCCGGTCCTCCGTGGGGTGGAGTGACCACTGGAGTCCAGCCGCCCCCTCTCCTATGGATTTGCGGATGGGGTGGGGGGTTTGTCTGGATGAGTCCCAGAAGAGGGCGGGCACCTCTAAGGGACACCAAGTCAAGTGCCAAAGACAGATGTGTTTCGCCTCCGTCTCCCCTCTTCCTGCCCCCGGCTGCCACACCTCCACCGGCCTGAGGCCCTCCTCACTACCACAGGAGCTGATGGAGAGGCTGCAGGGCATCGTCACGCGGCCGTACCGCCTAAGGCCTGTGCGGAGCAGCAAGGTGTGCAGTGGCCTGGGTGGGCCAGGGTCGGGGGCCCCGCAGGGCAGTGGAGGCCACCTCATAACCCCATCCTGCTGCCCAGATTGCCAGTGACCACCGAGCCGAGTTCGCGCGCTGCCTGGAGCCGCTGCTGCTGCTGGGGCCACGTCGGGTGACAGCTACTGCAAGTGGTGCTAACATGTGAGCGGCAACTGGGGAGGCCAGGCACAAGGTCCCCGACACTGAGGTGTGGGGGAGGGTGGGTGCTGAGAGGCCAGATTACCAGGGAAAAGCCAGGTGCCACCCTTCCTTCCTCCATCCTTAGCTCGACACCCTCCCAGCACAGTGTCTGGGTACAGGGGGTGGCCAGGGCGAGTCCTCTAAGTAGGGGAGCAGGAAGCCCTGGATCTGAAGTCCATGGCAGACCTGACTCGAAGCTCCGCTAAAGGAGAAGGGGAGGACTCAGGCCCCCAACTGCCACTGCAGCCTCCCCTGGGGTGGGGCACCTGGGGCTGGGCTAACCGCCACCTAGGTGGCCTGAAGTCATAGGGGGCCTGATTCCTGGACTCATCTGGGGAGGAGTTAGGAGAAATGCTGAAACAGCATGTGTGTGCCCAGGGGCCCCAAAGACTAAGAGAGACTGGGCCCACACTTCCTGTGTCCAGCATAGAAGTGAACACACCACTCACTCAGTCCTAGCCCTGGCAGCATTCCGATGGACTTGCTCTTGGCCCCACACCCTGGAACCCACTCCAGGGACTTTAAAAAATAGATGTGGATGGGGCCGGGCGCGATGGCTCACGCCTGTAATCCCAGCACTTTGGGAGGCTGAGGCGGGCGGATCACAAGGTCAGGAGATCGAGACCATCCTGGCTAACACAGTGAAACCCCGTCTCTACTAAAAATACAAAAAAATTAGCCGGGCGAGGTGGCGGGCGCCTGTAGTCCCAGCTACTCCGGAGGCTGAGGCAGGAGAATGGCGTGAACCCGGGAGGCGGAGCTTGCAGTGAGCCGAGATCGTGCCACTGCACTCCAGCCTGGGCGCGGATCGAGACTCCGTCTCAAAAAAAAAAAAAAAAAAAAAAAAAATTGATGTGGATGTCCGGGTGAGGCCTTGCCCCAGGCTTTTCAAAGCTCCTGGTGGCTCTGCTGTGCTCCAGGTGGTGGAGAGGGCTGTGAGAGCCCGAAACAGTCCAGGGGGCTGCCCTGGGAGGCCAGGGGAGGGGCAGACTTCTGCACCCCCCTGCATCCACACTGGCTCTCTCCCCAGGCTGGCAGGGGGCTTAGGCCCCAAGGTGCTGACGGGGCCCCGCTGCCCCTCCCCAGTAGGAAAGATGTCCGGGTCACCCGTCCAAAAGCCTACGCTGCACCGGTCCATCAGCACCAAGGTGTTGCTGGCAGAGGGCAAGAACACGCCTTTCACAGAGCACTGCCGCCACTATGAGGACACCTACAGGGTGAGCGGGCAGGGATCTGCCGGGGGAAAATGTCCTAACCCACTCCTCACCAAGGTACGCTCAGGAAAATTGAGTTGTCCCAGCTGCTGAACCTGGGAGCGATTCCTCCACCGAGTCCCGGGCAGTAAAAACAGCCCAGGGTGACCCACGCTCTCACACAGCCTCTCTGTGCAGCATCTGCAGGCGGAGATGCAGGGCCTAAAGGACCAGGTACAGGAGCTGCACCGAGACCTCACCAAGCACCACTCACTCATCAAGGCGGAGATCATGGGAGACGTCCTGAGCAAGTCCCTGCAACTGGACGTGCAGATCGCCTCGGAGCACACCTCCTTAGAGGGCATGAGGGTCGTCTTCCAGGAGGTAGCCCTCCCAAGGACTCTAACTCCAGTCCCACCTGTCAGGGGACACCTGGGCTACCCTGACAGTAAGCAGGGAAAGAGGACCTGGCTTGTGCCTTATAGGACTCTCATGTGGCAGGGTCTGGAGCCTGGGAGTCTTTGCTGCTTGGAATCACGTGGACCTCGCTGGGGGGTGCTTTGTAGATCCGAGTAGCTAGAGATAGCAGTGCCACCACTGTAAATTCCAGCTCACTACCACATCCAATGTCCAGCTTTTCTCTTTCAGATTTGGGAGGAATCCTATCAGCAAGTGGCTAATGAGCAGGAGATTTATGAAGGTTCCAGGAAGTTGGCTGCTGAGTGAACCCCCTGTCCCCGAGCTAACCCACATGCTAGCAAGGGAGGAAGTCAGGGTCGGCCACTAACCAGATGCAAATCCCCACACTCCTCACCTTAGCGCTTGACTGTGCCTCCCGGCTGCTAACCGGCCCCAGATGATGCATGTGGGGTCAGGACTCATTGAGAAGAATGCCCCCACCAAGTGCCTCACTCTTTAATTAGAGGTCACCATGGAAATGGTCGGGATATTTAGATGGTGCCTGGCTTGAGTGAAAACCTGAAGCCAGGTGCTTCAGGATTAAGACCCCATGCTCTGGCCTTGGCCCCACAGCCCAGCTCCATGACCTTCTCCAGCTGAGGCAGGAGAATGCCTACCTGACCACCATCACCAAGCAGATCACGCCCTACGTCCGCTCCATTGCCAAGGTGAAGGAGCGGCTGGAGCCCAGGTGAGGCCAAGGGGTGTTCCCAGGGCCACCGAGACTCTTCAGAATGTGCTTGGGGACTGGGTGCGGTGGCTCACGCCTGTAATCCTAGCACTTTGGGAGGCTGAGGTGGGCGGCTTACCTGAGGTCAGCAGTTCCAGACCAGACTGGCCAACATGGTGGAACCCCATCTCTACTAAAAATACAAAAATTAGTCATGCATGGTGGCTCATGCCTGTAATCCCAGCTACTGGGGAGGCTGAGCCACGAGAATCGCTTGAACCTGGGAGGTGGAGGCAGAGGTTGCAGTGAGTTGAGGTCACGCTACTGCATTACAGCCTGGGCGACACGGTGAGACCTTGTCTCAAAAAAAAAAAATGCGTGGGAAAGGTGCCACACCCACAGGACCCCGTTCAGGGAAGTCAGCTGGCCAGGTCATGTGGGTTCAGCTGGGGCATCTGGGCGGACCAGGTGCCGGACATTTGCAAAAGCGTGGTCACAGTGAGTGGGCTGCTCTTAGTTTCTGCTTTTAGGATCATAGTTGGTCCCTCCAACCCTCAAGAGTAGGTCAAAGCAGAAGGCACTTCCTAAGGGTGTCACGAGGGTCCTACTGGGCTGATCCAGGCGGCAGGACATGGAGGAGAGGGCAGGAACTTCATCAATGTAAGACAGGCCAAGCCTGTGCAGAGTCCTGACCAGGCTCTCTCAGCACTGTACTCAGGCATCACTGGGCTTCCAGTGTCAGAGGGATCTTGGTGGCAAGTCTTCAGTGTTCCCGTCTCTGAGTCACTGGGCCCCAGGGTAGACTGCTTGTCCTGTAGGTCTAGGGAATGACTGGAGCCTGAGCTGTCCCTTCACCACCCGAGTGGTGAAGTGCCTGTCAGGTTTTGGGGGAGCCCACCTCCTGGTAACTTCTTGAGAAAGAGTGCGAAGGAGGTGCGTGTTTGGGGTCGCTGGGTCTGACAATGCCTCCATTCTAGCTTCACACTTGACAGTTTCACTGGGTATCAAATTCTAGATTGGAAATTCTAGATTGGGAAGGATTCTCCTTCAAAGGCATTGTTCTCTCGCTCTCTTGTCTTCTAGCTTCCATGGTTGTTGTTCGTGAAGTCTGAAGGCGCTCAGACTCCTACCCTTGTAATGTGACCTACTAATTCTCTGTGGAAGCTTGTAGAATCTTCTCTTTGCTCCCAGTGTTCTGAGATTTCACTTTGGTGAGAGTCTATTTCCATCCATTAGGTTGGATACTGGCAGGCCCTTTCAACCTGAAAATTCATCATCTTCAGTTCTGGCATATTTCTTTTTTCTTTCTTTCTTTTTGAGATGGAGTCTCGCTCTGTCGCTGAGGCTGGAGTGCAGTGGCGTGATCTTGGCTCACTGCAACCTCCGCCTCCGGGGTTCAAATGATTCTCCTGCCTCAGCCTCCGGAGTAGCTGGGATTACAGGTGCGTGCCAACACACCTTGCTAATTTTTTCTTTTTTTTTTTTTCACACCTTGCTAATTTTTGTATCTTTAGTAGAGATGGAGTTTTGGCAAGTTCGCCAGGCTGGAATTTTCTTTTTTTTCTTTTTTTTTGAGACGGAGTCTCGCTCTGTCGTCCAGGCTGGAGTGCAGTGGCGCGATCTCGGCTCACTGCAAGCTCCGCCTCCCGGGTTCATGCCATTCTCCTGTCTCAGCCTCCCAAGTAGCTGGGACCACAGGCGCCCGCTACCGTGCCCAGCTAATATTTTGTATTTTTAATAGAGACAGGGTTTCACCGTGTTTGCCAGGATGGTCTCGATCTCCTGACCTCGTGATCCGCCCACCTTGGCTTCCCAAAGTGCTGGAATTATAGGCGTGAGCCACCGTGCCCGGCCTTTTTTTTTTGTATTTTAGTAGAGATGGGGGTTTTACTATGTTGGCCAGGATGGTCTTGATCTCCTGACCTCGTGATCCGTCCGCCTTGCCCTCCCAAAGTGCTGGGATTATAGGCATGAGCCACTGCTCCCAGCCTCTTTTTCAATTTGTTGATTTCTTCACTTTTTCTTTTTGGAATTTCTATTGTTGGATATTGGCTCCCCTGGGCTGGCCCTCTAATTTACCTTTTCTGTCCCATTTCCCTTTTTTTTTTTTGGATGGAGTTTCACTCTTGTTGCCCAGGCTGGAGAGAAATGGTGCGATCTTGGCTCACCGCAACCTCCGCCTACTTGGTTCAAGCTATTCTTCTGCCTTAGCCTCCTGAGCGGGGGAGATTACAGGCTTGTGCCACCACACCCGGCTAATTTTGTATTTTTAGTAAAGACGGGGTTTCTCCATGTTGGTCAGGTTGGTCTTGAACTCCCGACCTCAGGTGATCTGCCCTCCTCGGCCTCCCAAAGTGCTGGGATTACAGGTGTGAGCCACCAAGCCCGGCCCTTTTTTTTTTTTTTTTTTTTTTTTTTTTTTTGAGATGGGGTCTTGCCATGTTGACCAAGCTGGTTTTGAAATTCCTGGGCTCAAGTGATCCTCCCGCCTCAGCCTCCCAAAATGCTGGGATTACAGGCGTAAGCCACCGTGCCAGGCATCTTTATCTTCCATTAAGTAGTTCATTTCTGCTATCTTGTTTTGCATTTCCAACAGCTCCTTCTGTACCCAGTTTCTTTTGATGGTATCCTGGTGTTTCATGGACACAATATCTTACCCCTCTGAGGCCAACGGTTTTTTTCCTTTTGGAAATTTTCTCCCTGAAGTGTTTCCTCCCAGTTCTTTTTGCTTGTGAAGGTCTTTGTTTGTTTGTTTGAGACATTCTCGCTCTGTCGCCCAGGCTGGAGTGGAATGGTGCCAATCTCAGCTCACTGCAGCCTCCACCTCCCAAGTTCGATCGATTCTTGTGCCTCAGCCTCCAGAGTAGCTGGGATTACAGGTGTGCGCCACCACGCCCTCTAAGCCTGTGTAGGTTTCTGTCTTCCAGGCTGAAGGTTTTTCTCAGATGTCAGGTCACCCCTTGAGTATCTGCTCATATTAGGAGTGGGGCAGGGTTGGAGCCATGAGGCAGATTGGAAGCTCTGAGCACAAGGGTAGTACTCTTGCAGAGGCCTTCACCACTCCACCTGGATTAAGGCAGGTCCCCCTGGCGCCCTGTACCACACACCTTTCCCTCCCTCAGCGTGTCTGCCCCAACCAACACACAGCTTCCATGAGGGCAGGGCCTGGCCCTCGCCAACCGCTGGACCTTAGTAAATATTTGAGGAGCAAAAGAATGAAACGCTAGGTGGGTGCATGAGTGGTGGCAGAGTTTGGTTCTGAGATTTCTGAGCTTGAGGCCATGCAGCAGCTGGCTCTGCTCCCTTGAGATTCTGGTGCCCACTCTCTTGCCAGGTTTCAGGCACCCGTGGATGAGCAGTCAGAGAGTCTACAGAACACGCACGACGACAGCAGGAACAGCGTGGCCTCAGCCAGGTAAAGCGAGTCTCTCCATCAGAGAGTGGGCACGCGATGTGGCTTCTGAGGCCAACAGGATGACAAAGGAAACTCCAGGCTTTTCCCCTCTGGCTCCCGCTCTGGGACCCTGCCTGGGCCTCTTTGTAAAACAAGGGGTCAGAGAGGCTCTCAGCCCAGATGAGTAACTTAAACAAGGGACCTCATAGATAAAACAGGTGTTACTTTGATAGACACGACCCCATTTTACCATTATAAACAGCCGTGGCTGCTGCCTGCTTCCAGTTTCACCACTAGGAGCTGCACATGCTGACACTAGGGGACTCGGGTCACTGAAATGAGAAAATGACCAAGGACTGTTCCCCAGAGCCACAGTGTGCACCCCAATACCTGCCAGAGGAAGAGACGGCTGTGCAGTAACACCTAAGACACAGTCACAGGCTGATTTGGTCTCAGGAAAACGTACTCAGTCACAGGGCAGAGGACAGCACTGTAGAATCAGAACTGGAAGAGCCTAGGGGTGTACAGAGGGTTCCTGAAGTGGCCAGAGTCACAGCGTGGCTGGTGATAGAGCAGAGTCTGGCCCCAGCCTCCCCTGCACAGCTGCCATTTATTAGCTCAGATGCTTCCAAATTCAAAATGCAATGTCACCAGAAACCACTGACACAGCCTGATGGTTCAGCAACTCACAGCCGTCCCTGGGGACCAGCTCCTACTCAGTAGACAAGATCCTTTCGGAGACAGAGCCTTCCTGGTTCTGAAGCTGAACCATGGTCACTCAGTGAGGCCTTCCAGGAAGACGTGCCATTCTGAGAGCTTTCGCCCAAGTGGATTTTAGTGCAGGGATACGGTGAAATGGGGGAGCGGGCTGGGCTCACATGAGGCTGTCCCTTTAGGAATAACCCAGGAAGTGTCCCGGAAAAGAGAGAGAAGACGTCAGAGCCTAAAGGAAACAGCTGGGCTCCGAACGGCCTCTCGGAAGAGCCTCTACTCAAAAATAAGGATCATCACAGATCCAAACAGAAAAACAGGGGTGACATCCCCACATGGAGGGAACACCTGACTTAGCACATGGGACAGGTCTCCAGGGTCAGGCTTTTAGAGCAGGCACAAGACTGGGACACTGGAGAGAAGGTTGTTCCCATTGTTTTTAAAATTTTTATTTTGAGACGGAGTTTCGCTCTTTGTTGCCCAGGCTGGAGTGTAGTGGTGCAATCTCGGCTCCCTGCAACCTCTGTCTCCTGGGTTCAAGCGATTCTCCTGCCACAGCCTCGCGAGTAGCTGGGATTACAGGTGCCTGCCACCATGCCCCGCTAATTTTTTGTATTTTTAGTAGAGATGGGGTTTCACCATGTTGGCCAAGCTGGTCTCGAACTCCAGACCTCAGGTGATCCACCTGTCTCGGCCTCCCAAAGTGCTGGGATTACAGGGGTGAGCCACCATACCCGGCTGGTTATTTCTTTAAAAGGTAATCATTTGTCAATAATAAAACCCAGAGACTCTGACAGGCCGTAATTTCAGGTTCTTTGGCTTGGGCAGTTTTGCTTTTCCCCATGTTTGCAAGGCACGAAGTCTTCATCCTTGTCACAGTAGCTTGGGATGACTCCCAGTCCACATGGAAAATATCAGGGAGTGGCCATCCAGCAAGAAATCCCTCGCTTGTTCCACACCTACGCACCGAGCATCTGTGTGTTAGACCCTGTGCTGGGCAGTGTAGTCCGTCGGGGTGTGCCGGTTTGAGTGTTGGGTTACAAGACTCCACCGCCGAGTAGCACCTGCCCTATCGCAAAGGAATCCAGTTCCTCCGGAATTACAGTCCCACTGTTAACCTGGTGCTACTGGAAAGTTCCACCCGGTAATCTGAGCAGTGACTCACGGAAGGATGAGGAACCTTTGCTCCAGCTTCTCTCCCTTTCCAGCAAGGGCAGAGCTCCTAAAGCCAGGGGTTAGCACCTGGCCAGCTTACGTAGCAGATGGTCTCAGTTACTTCACTGCTTTCCCAAACTCCTGCAGCTCTCCTGCGTCCACCTTCCGTTGATAGCAAAGCACTGCGTAAGAACAACCTTTTTTCTAGTAGTTTTTTCCAAGCAGTTTTCCATTTCTCCACAGTACCCTTTCCATTTAGAGGAGCTTAATAACTGCTTGTTAAAAATTAACCCATGTGACCTAAACTTTTAAAAGTTTTTGTGGCAAAACGATGCCCAGATAGTCACATTTAAGCAAATATCCAGCTTGATTCAGTGATTAACAGTAAATGGGTCTACATGCTAACATAGCAGCACATTCAACACATAACACATCACTCACATCAACGTCCACTGCCCCTGCACCTGCTACTTCAGGGCACTGAGGCTCCCGTTCCAAGGCCTTACAAACCTATGTGGTGGCCTGTAGGGCAAAAGGAATTATCATTACAACTGGTTAGAGGTAGGAATTCAGAAAGAAATTGAGGAGGCAAAACACATGTGGTTTGAGGCTGAAGGCTTAAGACACCTCTTACCCAAGAGTGACCTCAGAGTTTCACATCCCACACAATCACACTGTGGTTGAGTGAAATCAAGTGCGGTTTTATTTAAGAACTCGAAAGAATCATCAGTATCTGTGAAAGAAAATCCAATTTAGAATATTTAAATAAACATTTCTGTATGTAAAAAGAAGAGTAGAATAATTACTCCATTAAGTTCCTCTCCTTGCAATGGGATAGGCTGCCTCTACTGCAGATGGCTGTGTCTTCCAAACCCATGACAAGTACCACGTCTTCTGCAGCAGTGGCCCAGAGAGTAAGCACTTCCCAGCAAGACAGAGAGGTCGAGGTCTTCTAACCTTGCCAAACCACGACAAAAGCAAACTATGGTGGGCAAGCCCACCTACCTAAGGCAGGAAGAAAGTGCAGCGAAGGGACAGTGGTGTGCTGTGCCTATCGTGGGGGTACTCCTAGCAGCCAGCTGTGGCTGATCGGCTAGTGCAGCTTCCTGGTTTAGGAATGTTTTCCCTGGTCATATCAATCCCCCAGGTTGGTAAATGAACAGAAGGGATGAATAAAGCCTACTTTTTAGGCTCAAGGAGCAGCTCGCACCAACAAAGGGGTGGCAGGTGCACTGCTGCCTTCTGTTTTCTGTCCTAAGAGGCTCACCCCGCGACCTCTTCTGTAAACTGCCACTCAGCAGCGGCCTGCAAGCCCTCACGAAAGGCTTCACGTTGTGCTGTTTCCAAGTAGCTTTGTTCTGAGCAGTACCTATTTTCCACTTAAGAATCTCCACTTTAAAACCTGCAATGGAAAAATAAATCTCTTGACAGTTTTTTAAATTGAGAAAATTGGTGATGTGGCCTTTACCGCATTAACCTGATTCTCTGCGGGCCCTGCCACTGCTAAATTTATAAAGCTGAAAATAATCTCAAGATCACAGAACTAAACAGAAGTCAATCACTTACCAAATCCTGCCCTTAAGGAGTTCATCTTGGCCAGGCGTGGTGGTTCACGCCTATAATCCCAGCACTTTGGGAGGCCGAGGCAGGCAGATCATGAGGTCAGGAGTTCGAGACCAGTCTGGCCAAGATGGTGAAACTCCGTCTCTACTAAAAATACAAAAAACTAGCCGGGCGTGGTGGCACATGCCTGTAATCCCAGCTGCTTGGGAGGTGAGGCAGGAGAATCGCTTGAACTCGGGAGGCAGAGGTTGCAGTGAGTGGAGATAGTGCCATTCCACTGGGCGACAATGTGAGACTCCGTCTCAAAAAAAAAGCCGGGCATGGTGTCTTAAGCCTGTAATCCCAGCTACTCAGGAGGCTGAGGCAGGAAAATCGCTTGAACCCGGGAGGCGGAGGTTGTGGTGAGCCGAGATGGTGCCACTGCACTCCAGCCTCCAGCCTGTGCCACAGAGCAAGACCCCGTCTAAAAAAAAAAAAAAAAAAAAGAGTTCATCTTTTATCCCTAAGTAATTGCTGACTGCTGCCCTGCGTTTATAAAGAGGCTGGGAATGTTCTCTCACGATCCCTACCCCTGGAATTCCTCTCTCAAGCAGAATACAATGTCAGGTTTTCCCTGGTGTCAGGCAGCATTTCACCGTGAAACCCTAAGACCTGCCTCCTGGGCTCCTTCCAGCTGGTGGGCCTGGCATGAAGGTGGACTTTCTGGGTTCTAGCAGAGGGAGGATGGCATTAAATGCCAACACCGTCAGCTTACCATCCACAAGGCCAGCGGCTGCCAACAGCTGCCCTACACCTATCAACAAGACGACTTCGTGGCTCCCAATGGGAATGGAGGCTGGGCCCGCCCTACTCAGAGCAGGGGAAAGAACCTTCCCTCAAAGAGCCGGGGCGGGCTGCCAGAATCTAACTACATCCTCTCCCGGTCTGCAGTTCTAGGAAGTGGAATTTGCTGCCCTAGGCGTGGTCCCACTGGGGATCATTCATTCACTCCAGAGAAATTGTTACTGATGGCTTGGCCACTGCCTTGGCTAGAGTCCCACTGCATGCATGTTGTAAGGGCCGATGGGCAAGTCTGTCTGGTTTTGGTTTTTGTTTTTGTCTCACCCTGTTGCCCAGGCTGAAGTCCAATGGCTCAGCTCACTGCAACCTCCGCCTCCTGGGTTCAAAGGATTCTCCTGCCTCAGCCTCCTGAGTAGCTGGGATTACAGGCACCCACCACCACATCCAGCTATTTTTTGTATTTTTAGTAGAGACGGGGTTTTATCATGTTGGCCAGGCTGGTCTTGAACTCCTGACCTCATGATCCACCCACCTTGGCTTCCCAAATTGCTGGGATTACAGGCGTGAGCCACCGTGCCTGGCCGTCTGGTTTTCAAACCAGCAGCTGTCATACTAGTAATCAATGAACCCGTAAGCCTCTTTGGTATATATAACAATGAAAAAATTCATTAAGCCATGAAATCTAGAAACACGTCGTATCTCTGAGTTGATAAAATGCTTTTCTGAACATACATTTTAGGTATCTGGTACAATTAACCAAATGTCTGCCCATTTTTGTGAAGCTTTTATACAGTACAGATTTCATTGATGTCGCCCCCACATCCGAGTATTAAAAACATTTGGCATTGTTCTTCTCAGTCCTCACAACACCCCTGTGAGGTAGGTGGTATTGACCCCATTCCACAGATGGGGAGGTCTAGGCACGGAAAGGTTTAGTGGCTCCTCACAAGCTGCGTGGTGGGGCAGCAGAGTGGTGCTCTGGCCCTAAGCCCACGCCTTCACATTCATACTTCTTCAGTGCCACCGTAACACTGCATGGCAGGATCTCACGCTGAGGCCAAGTTCCTGTCTAGTCCAGAATGAAGCCAGCGTTTCACGCTTAAAGCCTCTTAAAGCTTCCATGTGTGACTCAAAGTCAACTACTCTCCCAAACTTGCAAAACAAACATATTGACTGAATCTTGGTTGGGACTATTTGCAGTATTTAAGATTATTTTTGAGAGTCAGTCTGCTTGGATTTGTAGTTGTGTATGTTCAAATCCCTTTGAAAACAGTTTGAAATGACATGAGGGACAATGTAATTTTGAGAACACAACACATAAAACAAGAGTTCTGAGACTGACATTGAAATTGAGAATATAAGCTATGGTAAAATGAGAATCAAATCCCAAATAAATGGAGAGCAGCACTTCTCAATGTTTAAGGCCATGCACAGAGCAGGCATTCACTCAGCACTTCTGGATCAAGAGAAATGGACACTCCTTTGAGCCGCCTGTCACTGACAACAGGAGCTGAGACCCCCAGGAAAGCCGGCCAGGGCCATGATCCCCTTGGCCTGGGGCCACGTTCACACAAAGCCACTCAGCCAAATTGTGTGGAGGTATCTAGGCTTACTTGCTGCAGGATAAAAGTTGAGCTAGAACACCAAGCGTTGAGCTAGGAATACCCCTTTGAATGTGTACTGCTACTTATAAAAAATAGATATGTAGCTATGATTAAATAGATGAAAGGCCAAAGCATCCTATGAGGAAATATTTTTAAAATTGTATAGATGTTCATGCAGTGAGGGACAGAAATAAAGAGGTTAAAGCGGTTTGTGTTTTTCGGTTAAATGAAAGGTTGTAAAAGCATTTTTAATGCTGATAAGAAGGGGTACCTGCTACCCCGTTCTGCTGTGGAAGTGTTGCTGAGGACAGAGTCCATCTCTCCCAGGGAGTCCTGGTTATCCCTTACTTACACTCTGGCCTCGGGGGCAGTGGCGTGTGGCCTCGGTCCTCCCCAGGTCACTCTGGAGGGCGCTGTGGAATATTGCTGTGATTTGCCTCTTATTCATCTTTCACCCATGTTCCGCCTTGATTCGGCATAAGGACAGACTGCTCCAGTGGGGCCTTGGGTCCTCAGGCCTTCTGACCGCTTGGTCTTGAGTGACATTCCAGAAGAGTGACTAATGACGTAAAACGATTAAGAAAATCCATGTTGCAGCGGCCGACCAGAAACAGTTTTGTCCCAGGCTGCACGGGGCTGGAGGCCCCAAGGTCACCGGAGCCACTGCCCGTCACAGGTCCACCTTGACCCCCTTTATGAAAGGCAGGCCCGTGGGCACCCTCTTCTTATACTCCAGGTACTCCTCTCCAAAAAAGTGAATTAGTGAGATTTCTTCTTCTTCTGTTCGATCGCGGAAGAATCGCCACACCGTCAGAGCATAGCTGACGCCGCAGATGGGGTTACACAGCATCACCTAACAGAGGGAGACACCGGGCTCATCAGGGTGACCGTGGGATGATGCCCTGTGCTTTGGTGGGCGTCTGTCTCTAATACCCAGAGGATTTCTGTGCCCATGCCCTGCTGAGACTGTCAGGGTCTCTGGGAGCAGTACTGTCACCGTAGCCCTAAGCACTCAGTGCTGCAGGCCTTTCTCATGTGCTTTTCTGTTGCTCCTCTTACATGACAGAGATCTGAAAATCACAAGATCAACCTCTTGGATTTCAACCCTCAGCTTGGGGTGACAGCAATGCCCCCCACCTCCTGGTGTGGGCTCCCCAACATGAGGTCCCATGCACGCTGCCTTCCTGCCCAGGACCCTCCCACCACAAATGCATTTGCTTACACCACAGCTGCCTGGGCCTCTGCCTCCTAAACCCAGAGCCTCTGCTTCAGCACGAGATACGGGGCCACAAAACTAAGCTTCCGAAATGCCCCTTCCAGCAGATCACCTCCATGTTCAGAGAGCTCCAGAGCCTCAATCCCACCTCCTGAGTCTGGGTTTCCAACCCAAGAAAAGCAGCATTTCGCCTACTTCCCCAGTCTCCTGCCTTCCCCACGCTGTGCCCACTTTGCCTCTTACCTTTTTCCCTCTCCTCCCTGGAGACGGGTTCTCACTCTGCCACGTGGAGTGCAGTGGCGTGATCATGGCTCACTGCAGCCTTAACTTCTTGGGCTCAAGTGATCCTCCCACCTCAGCTTCCCAAGGAGCTGGGACTAAGGGCATGCGCCACCACGCCCAGCTAATTTTTTTTGTAGAGATGGGGTTTCACTATGTTGCCCAGGCTGGTCTCGAACTCCTGGCCCTTTCTTCCACCTTTAAGAACATCCTGGCCAGGTGCAGTGGCTCACGTCTGTTAACTGCACTTTGGGAGGCCAAGGCGGGCAGATCACCTGAGGTCAGGAGTTTGAGACAAGCTTGGCCAACATGGTAAAACCCCATCTCTATCAAAAACAAAAATTAGCCAGACGTAGTGGTGGAAGCCTATAATCCCAGCTACTGGGGAGGCTGAGGCAGGAGAATTGCTTGAACCCAGGAGGCAGAGGTTCCAGTGAGCTGAGATCGCCATTGCATTCCAGTCTGGTCAACAGAGCGAAACTCCCTCTCAAGGGAAAAAAAAAAAAAAAAAAAAAAAAAAAAAAGAACATCCTTCTTACCGATCCCCAGCCAAATAGTCCTTCAAGGCCAAAAGCATGCCCCAGCTCCTCAGGGAACCACTCACCTACTCCTGCCCACTGGTCCCCTGTGGATGTGCATCTTCCCCGACATACATTTTCTGTACGTTTTCTGAACATACATTTTAGGCTCCAGTTCAACCACCTGGAGAGCCAGGCTCATGTCCTGACCTCTCACACCTTCTCTTATTGAGCACTTACTGTGTTCCCAGCGCCGTGCTAAGCCCTTTACAATCATTACCCTGTTCAACTCTCATGGCAAACCTTTGAGGGCAAGCTAATATCCCCACTTTGTTTTTTAAAATATTTATTTTATTTATTTTTTTGAGAAGGAGTCTCACTCTGTTGCCCAGGCTGGAGTACAGTGGCGCGATCTTGGCTCACTGCAAGCTCCGCCTCCTGGCTTCACACCATTCTCCTGCCTCAGCCTCCCGAGTAGCTGGACTACAGGCGCTCACCACCACGCCTGGCTAATTTTTTGTATTTTTAGAGAGACAGGGGTTTCACCATTCACAGGATGGTCTCGATCTCCTGACCTTGTGATCCGCCCAGCTCGGCCTCCCAAAGTGCTGGGATTAGCCACCGCACCCAGCCTTTATTTTTTAAAGACAGGGTCTCACTATATTGTCCAGACTGGACTTGAACTCTTGGGCTCAAGCCATCCTCCCGCCTCAGCTTCCCGAGTAGGGGGGACTACAAGCATGTGCCACTACGTCTAGCTGCCCCCACTTTAACGTGAGAGGAGAGGGAGGCCAAGCAGTGAATGTCAGAATCAGGACTGGCCCAGTCAGTGACTCCAGGGCCTGTACCCTCACATCTGGCATAGCTTGCTGGGGATACCCTACAGCGGGAGTTCTTGATAGCAGGCTATAGCCTGTTACTGAGCCATGAAATCATTTAGTGCATCATGAACAGTACTGCAAATAGTAAGATAGAAAACAGGGTTTTTTACATGGTAAGGGTAATTATTATACTAGGAAAGACATGTTCTGTTCATACACACACAAGTGCTGGAGCACAATGTAAAAAAATATATATAGGCAAAAAAGTATGGAAAACCCTTTGGTTCTAGTGCACATATGTATACAGTAAGCACACATTTATGGCAAATTACATTATTCAGTCATAACCAATTTGTTTCCAGGGAAGGTGATTGTTAATGTGAGGGTTTTACATATTTTAGAAACAAAAAATGTAAAGTAAAAGCTATGGAATAATTTGCCCCAACTATACCGTTAGGGGTCACCAGAGAGTCACCAAGGACTATGCATTGCTGATGGGATGCCTGAGAGATCTCTGGATTCACCCAAAGACTTGGAGACTTTTCCCAAAGACTTGGTGAATTTTCCAAGATGTATTCACATTCTTTGGCCAAGTTTTTCTAGGACCAAGAGTACAGAATCAAGAAACATTTTCAAGAAATAAGGCTTGGGGTTGGGCATGGTGGATCACGCCTGTAATCCCAGCATTTTGGGAGGCTGCAGGGAGAGGCCTGCTTGAGCCCAGGAGTTCGAGATCCACCTGGGCAACAGTAAGACCCCATCTCTACTAAAAACAAAAAATTAGCTGGGCATGGTGGTGCACACTTATAGTCCCAGCTACTCAGGAGACGAAAGCAGGACGGCTGCTTGAGCCCAGGAGTTTGAGACTAGCCTGGGCAACACAGTAAGCTCTCATCTTTAATACACAAATAAATAATTTTATTTTGTAAGACAGGGTCTCACTCTGTTGCCCAGACTGGGTTACAGTAGCAATCAAAGCGATCCTCCTGCCGCAGCCTCCTGAGTAACTGGGATTACAGGTGCACGAGCCACTTCCAGATATATTTTTAACTTTTTCCTTTGGAGAGAAGGGTTCTCACTATGTTGACCAAGCTGGTTTCTAATTCCTGGCCTCGAGCAATCCTCCTGCTCTGGTCTCCCAAAGCCACTGTGCCTAACCAAGTAATAATTTTAAAAAAGAAATATACAGGCAGGGTGCGGTGGTTCATGCCTGTAATCCAGCATTGGGAGGCTGAAGCAGGTGGATCATCTGAGGTCAGGAGTTTGAGATCAGCCTGGCCAACATGGGTGAAACCCCTACTAAACCTACTAAAAAATACAAAAAATTAGCTGGGCGTGGTAGTGCATACCTGTAATCCAGCTACTCAGGGTGCTGAGGCAGGAGATTCACTGACCCAGGAGGTGGGAGGCTGCAGTGAGCCAAGATCAGCCACTGCACTCCAGCCTGGGGCGACAGAGTGAGACTCTGTCCAAAAAAAAAAAAGAAAAAATATATGTGGTGGCTCACACCTATAATCCCAGCACTTTGGGAGGCTGAGGCGGGTGGATCACTCGACCCCGAGGAGTTTGAGAACAGCCTAGGCAACATGGCAAAACCCTGCTCTATAAAAATACAAAAATTAGCCAGGGGCTGGGCATGGTGGCTCACGCCTGTAATCCCAGTGCTTTGGAGCCAAGGCAGGCAGATCACCTCAGGTCGGTGAGTTTGAGAACAGCCTGGAACCAACATGGAGAAACCCCGTCTCTACTAAAAATACAAAATTAGCCGGGTGGTGGTGGCGCATGCCTGTAATCCCAGCTACTCAGGAGGCTGAGGCAGGAGAATCATTTGAACTGGGGAGGCAGAGTTGCGGTGAGCTGGAGATCACGCACATTGCACTCCAGCCTGGGCAACAAGAGCGAAAACTCCATCTCAAAAAAATTAATTAATTCACAAAAAAAATTAGCTGGGTGTAGTGACACACATCTGTAGTCTCAGCTACTTAGAAGGCTAAGACAGGAGAATCCCTCAAACCCGGGAGGCGGAGGTTGCAGTGAGCCGAGATTGTGCCACTGCACTCCAGCCTGGGCTACAGAGACTTAGGAGACTAAGGTGGGAGGATCACTTGAGCCCAAGAGGTCGAGGCTGCAGTCAGCCATGATCATGCCAACGCACTATAGCCTGGGTGAGAGACCCTGCCTCAAAAAAAAAAAAAAAAAAAAAAGAAAAACCATACATTAAAAAAAAATATATATATACACACACACACACACACACACACACACACACACATACACACACACACACACAGAGAGAGAGAGAGTCAGGTGCAGTGGCTCACACCTATATAATCCTAACACTTTTTCTTTTCTTTTTTTTTTTGTTTTGAGACAGAGTCTTGCTGTGTCACCCTGGCTGGAGTGCAGTGGCGTGATCTCGGCTCACTGCAACCTCTGCCTTCGATTCAAGCAAATATCGTGCCTCAGTCTCTCAACTAGCTGGAACTGTAAGCATGAGCCACCACGCCTGGCCTAATCCCAGCACTTTAGAAGGCCAAGGTGGGAGGATCGCTTGAGCCCAGGAGTTCAAGCCCAGCATGGGCAACAAAGGGAGAACCATCTCTTTTTTTGAGACAGAGTCTCACTCCATCACCCAGACTGAAGTGCAGTGGCATGGTCTCAGCTCACTGCAACCTCCATCTCCCAGGTTCAAGCAATTCTCAGGTCTAGGCCTCCCGAGTAGCTGGGACTATAGACATGTGCCACCATGCCCAACTAATTTTTGTATTTTTAATAGAGATGGGGTTTTGCCATGTTGGCTAGGCTTGTCTCAAACTCCTAACCTCAAGTGATTCACCCACTTCAGCCTCCCAAAGTGCTGGGATTACAGGCAACCGGCTGGGAGAACCACCTCTACAGAAAATTTAAAAATTAGCCGGATGTGGTGGCACACACCTGTAACGTGTTCCAGCTACTTGGGAGGCTGAGGTAGGAGGATCACTTGAGCTCAGGAGGTCAAGGCTGCAGTAAGCCATGATCACAACACTGCACTCCAGCCTGGGTAACACAGCAACATCCTGTCTTAAAAAAAAAAAGCTGGGCGTGGTGGCTCACACCTGTAATCCCAGCACTTTGGGAGGCCCAGGCGGGCGGATCATGAGGTCAGGAGATCAAGACCATCCTGGTTAACACAGTCAAACCCTGTCTCTACTAGAAATACAAAAAATTAGCCAGCCGTGGTGGTGGGTGCCTGCAGTCCCAGCTACTCAGGAGACTGAAGCAGGAGAATCGCTTGAACCTGGGAGGTGGAGGTTGCAGTGAGCTGAGATCACACCACTGCACTCCAGCCTGGGCGACAAGTGAGACTCCGTCTCAAAAAAAAAAAAAAAAAAAAAAAAAAAAAAAGGCCGGGCACCGTAGCTCAAGCCTGTAATCCCAGCACTTTGAGAGGCCCAGGAGGGCAGATTGCTTGAGCTCAGGAGTTCAAGACGGCTCTGAACAACTCGAGAAACGCTGTCTCTACAAAAAAAATACAAACAGTAGTCAGGCATGGTGGTTTGTGCCTACAGTTCTAGCTACTTGGGAGGCAGAGGTTGCAGTGAGCCAAGATCGCACCACTGCACTCTGGCCTGGGCAACAGAGCAAGACTAGGTCTCAAAAAAAAAAAAAAAAGAAAGAAACAAGGCCTTTTCTTCAGCCTGAGACAGAACAAACCTACATGGCTCCACACAGCTCACTAACACATGGCCTCGACCCCATTAATACCTATTTCTGATGAAATCCAGCCAAACTGCCACATGAGTGGTAGAGGGCACTCCCTTCCCTAAGGGCCATCTCTGTCCTCAGCCCCTCTGGGGTGTTTCAGATCTATTAATAGGTTGAAGGGGCAGAGAAGGGGATAGGCACAATGGCTCATGCCTATAATGCTAGCACTTTGCAAAGCTGAGGTGGGAGGATCACTCAAGGCCAAGAGTTTGACACCAGCCTGGGCAACATAGCAAGACCCTGTCTCTACCAAAAAAAAAAAAGAAAAAACAAAACAAAAAAAAAACCAGGCAGAAACAGGATAAAGGGATACAGCAGGTAGCTAACAGCACCAAGGATTTATGCACCCAGGTTTTGGGCACATACTAAAAAGCATTACAGACTACATTAGTTCTCTTGACTTTTATTAAATTATCACTTGAAACACGCCAAGAAGAACACGTACCTATTATTTAAAGGAGACCAACAACCTCATGAACACACTGAAAACCACTAATTGTGTACTTCGAAATGGTGACTTTTATGGTATGTGAATTGTATCACAATGTTTAAAATGTTACTAAAAAAAATAAAAAATAAAAAAGGGGAGTGGTGTCATATTTGATATTATACCTGAGTTCCAATACTCCAGTAAAACCACCCGACGTAAGAAGGATGCCGAAACCAAGCGTACACTCCGCTGGTCACCAGAGTATGTGTATCTGATTTTTCATTCTGCACCACGTGGTTGAAATTGGAGCCAGCTGTAAACATGGCCGCCTTCCTGAGACATTCTCCGAAGACCACCATCAGCAGCCCTGTGACACTGAGCCAGGTGATCTGCTTCAGTTCTGTGGGAGAGAGACATCGATGACACACGAGGAGTGAAAACATTGGCCGGCTGAGCTTCCTTTCGCACTGCTTAAAATTAACCTATTTTCCCAAAGACAGAAACAGAAAATGTGCTCGTGGGCAATCAGCATTTGTCATCACGTTAAAATTTCATAAGAAAACACATTCTCCTAAGTTGTGCTGTTCATCGGTTTACTTTAAAATGCCAATAAGCACAATGAAAGCATCATGGTAAAGAGATGCTCTCTTGCTACAGCTGATGGGTTCTCTGGTTCACCACCCCCGGCCACATGCTCAGTCCTTCATTTGGGGACAAGTACAGCTAAGAGAAGAAAAGGGCCGGGTGCGGTGGCTCAAGCCTGTAATCCCAGCACTTTGGGAGGCCGAGACGGGCGGATCACGAGGTCAGGAGATCGAGACCATCCTGGCTAACACGGTGAAACCCCGTCTCTACTAAAAAATACAAAAAACTAGCCAGGCGAGGTGGCGGGCGCCTGTAGTCCCAGCTACTCGGGAGGCTGAGGCAGGAGAATGGTGTAAAGCCGGGAGGCGGAGCTTGCAATGAGCTGAGATCCCACCACTGCACTCCAGCCTGGGCAACAGAGCGAGACTCCGTCTCAAAAAAAAAAAAAAAAAAAGAGAAGAAAAGAAGGGTCCAAGGTTTCCACCCTGACTCCCAGGAGCTACATGTATTTCATTTCATTGGCTGTGAGACATTCAATTTCAGAGTGCATTCCACATACAGAGGCTTTTGTTAGTCAATTTTTTTTTTTTTTTGAGACAGCGTCTCACTCTCATTGCCCAGGCTGGAGTGCAATGGCACAATCTTGGCTCACTGCAACCTCCACCTCCTGGGCTCAAGCAATTCTCCTGCCTCAGCCTCCCAAGTAGCTAGGATTACAGGCATGCACCACCAGGCCCGACTAATTTTGTATTTTTAGTAGAGATGTGGTTTTACCATGCTGGTCAGGCTGGTCTCAAACTCCTGACCTCATGTGATCCACCCACCTCAGCCTCCCAAAGTGCTGGGATTACAGGCGTGAGCTACTATGCCTGGCCAGTAAACTCTTACATGAAACATCTAAATATCATCTGATTGTAAAATTAGAATCACAACTACCCAAGGTTGGGACTTCACATTAGATGGTGCACTATGTGATGCAAACTTTAAAGCAAAAGGTCAGCACGTCCTCGAGTCAAAATCCAGAGGCAGAATTCACGAGTGGAGCTCATCCTTTATAAAGAGCTTAGTGAGGATAGAGGTCTGTGGAAAATCGCTTGGGGGAGATTAGACTTGAAAGGTGAATCAATGGCACTGTCCTCAGCCTGAATGGGAGCCACCCTTTTCCCCTCCAGAGGGGGACATAAGGCACACTAACCTGGCCAAAAGATATTTTCAAGTGTGAACTCTAACCAAGAAGAAAGAGCGGCTACTGTATACTCCAGGCTGTGATTCAGGAGAAAGGAATCCAAGGACAGACTTTTGGGATTATTGACTGCTGTCACCAAGTATTCAGAATAGTGGAACAATGACAGGGAGCACATGTACCTATTTAAAGACAAAAAGAGAGTTACGTTGGGACAAGAGAACCAAGTTAGCCGTGAGTGCAGATGTCGGTCTCCTGAGCTGTCCCTAAGTCCATGAGGCCCTGTTCTCACCTGTCTGAGAGTGGACACAGGTACCCATCGCAGCATCTACTACCTCAGGCTTGCAAAAAGTGGAGTTTTTAAGGGACTAGTTTTGTTTCCAGTCTTTTTTTTTTTTTTTTGAAACAGAGTCTCGTTGTGTCCCCCGGGCTGGAGTGCAATGGTGCGATCTCGGCTCACTGCAACCTCTGCCTCCCAGGTTCAAGCGATTCTCCTGCCTCAGCCTCCCAAGTAGCTCAGACTACAGGTGCCCACCACCACGCCTGGCTAATTTTTGTATTTTCAGTAGAGACAGGGTTTTGCTATGCTGGCAAGGCTGGTCTCGAACTCCTGGCCTCACTATGTTGGCTAAGCTGGTCTTGAACTCCTGACCTCGTGATCTGTCCACCTCAGCCTCCTAAAGTGCTGGGATTACAGGCGTGAGCCACCGCACCCAGCAAGGGACTGTTTTTGAATGTCACAGGCAAAACAAACCCACAGGTCACGGAGGCATTATGGACCCTTCTGTCCTTTAAAAATGACACTACACACAATAAAACATGAAAGAGGGAGATAACAACATAAAGGAGTGATGCATGTCGGATACAAAATTTAACAAAACTGAAATAATTCCAGCAAAGGATTAGATGGCTCAAAATATTGATAAGAGGAGATTTAAAACTTTTTACCTTGAAGCCACTGGTTCATATCCAGGTCAGACTAGAAGGCTCAAGGGACTGAAATCATAGTGTAGGGAAAAATCCTACAATGGCTGTGGGGATGCACTAGATGTGACCTAATAGAAATTAGAGATGAAAAAGGCCTATGAAGACAAGCCAGAGCCCTGCCCCTGCCCGCCACCGAGGACCTGCACCCCTTCCGGGAAGGGCTGCTCATGTTACTGAATGCTGTCACCACAGCTGCTGATGACAGCGCCTTTGGGGGTGCCAGGGAGATCTGCTTCTGCCTGATTCACAACCAACCCACAGGCACGAAATCACAAGGGCTGAAATGTGAGCAACTAGGGGGAAGCCAGACTTGTTTCCAGAGAACCCTGAACAGCCTTCTGCCGGTCACAGATGAGACAGGGATGAGGAAATGCCACTACTGACCCTCTGATCTGTCCACCCTCGCCTGAAAACCAGTATTCCAAAAGGAATTCTTACCAGCCAAAGTGACTCCAAGAAGACTGGCTAAAACTTAGCAGCATGCCGCAGCCGAACACAAACCCCAGGAAACAAGCTCGGATGGCTATCTGAAAGGAACCAAGAGCAGCTCAGTCACTCGCAGTCCTCAGAGTACAGATCTGGGCTGCTGACCTTCCCAGAATAGGCAGGCCACAGGCAAGCAGATAGAGCCGATTTGCTGAGATTGAAAGGGAGAAGTGGGCGAACTGGGTTCAAATTCTGCACCCACTTCTCTCTGGCTGTGTGGCCTCCCAAGTTATTTAACCTCTCTGGGCTTGCTTCCCCATCTACACCCAGGGGATAACAGTACCTACCATTTAGGACTGTGGTTAGAATCACACACGTAAAACACTTAAGACTAACTGCTACCTAAATTTTAGCTGCCACTATTATTATTATTCACGATGATTATTCACGGCTGTAGGAAAACTGCTTAAGCCTAGTTTATGAGGTCTGGGCACCCGAGCCCGTGCGCCCAGCCCCACCCACGTCACTGCGGGGCCTTTGACCTGAGACAGGGCAGCAGGTAGGTCTCTGCACCTTAAGTTACATAAAAGCACTCGCGGGCTCGCTCACCCCCACCCCACGCGCACCAGCTGAGCTGCACGAGCTGCAATTTAACACCCACTCTTCGGGTGCAGGACGCCCGAGCCCGGAGAGGGAGGGTCCCTTCCTGAGACCTACACTCGTGGGTGAAGAGCGCCCGCGTGGGAGGCTGCTGCGGGCCCGGGGAGAAAGGTGCCCACGCGCCGCGCCAAGCGGACCCCCGCCCGCCCCACAGGCCCCACCGGCCCCCGCCGGCCTGCACCTGGTAGCGAGGCGGCCGATAGAGCAGCAGCAGCAGCGCGTTGAGCCCGGCCACGTAGAGCGCCAACCCGGTGCGGCCCTGCAAGCCGGCGCGCGTGAGGAGCGGCAGCGCGAGCACCGAGGCGCCCAGCAGGAAGGTAGCGAGGCTGAGACGCGCCTCGGAGCCTGGCGGAGCCCGCGCCGCGCAGCCCGCCATGGCGCAGGGCGGCGGACTAGGAGGCGGCGGCGACGGCTGTAGCCCGGGGAAACGCGCCGGCCGCGCCTGCGCACTGCGCCGCCGACGCCGGCCCGGGAAGGGCAGCTGCCCGGAGCTGCGCGCCGCCTGCCAGTTCTCGCGAGAACTCGGGCCCGCCCCGTTGGTGGCCCGAATTTGGCGGTAGTGCCCCGCCCCGCCCCGCCCCTCGGGGACATCCGGGCTCTGAGCCCGACTCTGTGCCGGGCTGGGGCCGGGCTGGGGTGAGAGAAGTCGCTCCCTTCCTCTACCCAAACTTAGTCCCAAACTCTGGAGGTTCTTGTCCCAAGAAGCAATGTAAAGTTTGAAACGAGCCGGGCGCAGTGGCTCACGCCTGTAATCCCAGCACTTTGGGAGCCCGAGGCGGGCGAATCACTTGAAGTCTGGAGTTCGAGACCAACCTGGCCAACATGGGGAAACGCCGTCTCTGCTAAAAATACACAAATTAGCTGGGCGTGGTGGCGCACGCCTTTAATCCCAGCTACTTGGTGGGGCTGAGGCAGGATAATTGCTTGAACCGGCGAGACGGAGGTTACAGTGAGCCGAGATTGTGCCACTGCCCTCCAGCCTGGGTGAGAGTGACACTCCAGCTCAAAAAAAAGAAAAAGTTTGAAACGGCCGCACCCTCGCCGTCCCTGCGTGGTCCCCGAAAACCAGACGCCTTGGGGCGTGGGTTCGGCCGAGTGCGGCAACCTCCTGCCCTCCCTCTAAGGGTCCCTAGAAAGCGGCCTGGACAACTGCACCTGGGCATCCATGCGACGGGACCACCGCCCGCTGAAATTCCTATTGTGGAACAATGCTGGACGGTGATGGCAATGCTCAGGATATATTAGGTTTTTGTTTTTTGTTTTTTTGAGACGGAGTCTTGCTCTGTTGCCCAGGCTGGAGTGCAGTGCGCAATCTCGGCTCACTGCAAGCTCCTCCTCCCGGGTTCACGCCATTCACCTGTCTCAGCCTCCGGAGTATCTGGGACTACAGGTGCCCGCCACCCCGCCCGGTTAATTTATATTTTTAGTAGAGACGGGGTTTCACCGTGTTAGCCAGGATGGTCTTGATCTCCTGACCTCGTGATCCGCCCGCCTTGGCCTCCCAAAGTGCTGAGATTACAGGCGTGAGCCACTGCTCCCGGTCTATATTAGGTTTATAAATAGCAGGAGGCAAAGCTATTCGGTGTGATCCTGACTTCACTTGGGGGAAAAGGGCAGGTATCTGAGCCTGGGAAAATGATCGAGCTATAAGCCAAAATGATATAACGCCGATTATATATGTACCTTTTTTTTTTTTCCTTTTTTTCTTTTTTAGGCACAGGTCTCACTCTGTCAACCTGGCTGGAGTCCGGCAGCCTGGGGTTTCACCATGTTGGCCAGACTGATTTCAAACTCCTGACCTCAGGTGATCCACCCGCCTCGGCCTCCCAAAGTGCTGGGATTATAGGCGCGAGCCACCACACCCGGCCCATAGATTACTTTTATAATCAGAAGTTATTATTTACTTTTCAAAGAGTAAATGCTCTCACCTCAGGTAGCTCAGAGAGCCGTGCTGGAGGAGAAAAGCCAGTAAGCGATAAACTGGAATAAACTCTGCAGGATTGGGAATGGGGGCAGAAGGAGAGCAAGGATGGGGAGCAGAGAGGGACCCCAGGGGAGGCCCTCAGCTTGGATGGCGGCAGGGCGAGGAGGCTGCAAGGAACAGACGCCAGAGCTAGGCCTTGGGGCCCTCGGGGATGGACAGCCTGCCCTCCATTGGAAATGAGATCAAGGAGGGAGTGAGGGCTCAGTGTTTGAAAGGCACAGAGGCAGGAGGAAGCAAGGCTGAGAAGGGATGGGGACAGGCCCTCAGGGAGGCTGGCACCAAGCGGTGGGTCAGCGAGAGAGGCAGGCGGTCTGTGAGTCCTGCATCTGAGCCCCTCACCTCTCCACTCTAGTCCCTGCAGGTGCTGGCAGGAGCTCTGGTACTTGGGAAGCTGGATGGAGAGGCTGGGCCAGAATCCCAGACCCCTCACCCTCTGCAGCCTAGCTTTGTGACCTCGGCAAATCCATTCTATGTGCCTCCGTTTCCTGTACGGTGGGGGTCCTTATTTCTCTGGCACAGATTGGTATTTGTTCTGTAAAGCCCAGTACCACTTTATTTTATTTTATTGATTGATTTTTTTTGAGACAGGGCCTCACTCTGTTGCCCAGGCTGGAATGCAGTGGTGAGATCATAGCTCACTGCAACCTCGAACTCCTGGGCTCAGACCATCCTCCTGCCTCAGCCTCCTGAGTATCTGGGACTACAGGCATGCACCACTGCACCTAGCACCATGTTTAAACGGTGCTCAGAAAACTTGCTAAACTTGGTGGATGGGAATTGAAAATAGATTTAATGTTTTAAAAATCAAAGTCACCCAGCTGCAGTGCCACATGGGAAGGAGGCCTGGGTGTGAATGTTCCTGGGAGCTGAGAGCTCCTGTGACTGCCGCCAGTTTCCTGTGGTCTCCTCCAGACTCAGGACCTCTCCCTCCGCACCAGGACACCTCAGGACCACCAGAGGGCACTCATCGCACCTTCACCCCTGGAAATGAGCTGGTCCTGGGGCCAGAAACCACTGTACCTGGGAAGCCCTTTCTGGCTTTTGCTCTCCTCAATGTATGACAGCCCTGATTTACCCCCAGGGACTGTTGCCACTCAGGGGTGCAGAGTAATATGTCACCAGACTGGAGAACCAGAGCAATGCTCTCTCCTCTGCCCATCACCTCCCCTTGGCCCCTCCCTCTTCATCAGCCCCATTTTGGAGAAGGGAGAAAGAAAGGAGAGATAGCGGTCTCCTCCCAGGTGGGGCCGGACTCCAGGGAAGGAGAATTTTCAGAAGTTGCAGGAGTTGCCAAATCTGTCAGGGCCCAGGGTTCACAGAGCAGTGATGGAGGAGAAAGGAGAGGAAGCAGATCTAAGCACATAAGGGCATCAAACCAGAGAAACAAAGTCACATGCAGAGGGCTGCACATAGACACAGGGAAATATACACACGGAGATGCACAGAAACACGCAGACCCCACACAGGGACCTGCTTTCCTGCTACAGGGGAAAGTAATCTGATCAAGCAGACCCACTGTGCACCCTTCTCTCTATGCTTCAGGACAACACACCTACAAAAATATAAGAAAAAAAGGGAAAACAGCTCTGCCTGGCATGCCTTGCTTGCCTTTTCTTGTAAATAAGCATTTGAATGTGTTTTGTTCTAGGAGCTTTCCAGGCAGGCACAAAGGGAGCCCTTTCTCATGCAGGAAGTTCCCTCTGCTGCCTCCCCCTTCCCTCCCCCTCCTGCCATCCGCCCACAGGCTGAGGTGGCTTTCTTTCCTGAACCCAAGTGTGGATACCTCCTGTTTTAGAGAACCCTGAGAACCACTATGCTATTCCCAAGTTAAACTCTAGGCTGAGATGAAATTAGGCTTCTTTTTCTTTTCTTTTTTCTTTTTTTTTTTTTGAGACAGGGCCTCACTCTGTTGCCCAGGCTGGAGTGCAGTGGCAGGATCCCAGTTCACTGCAACCTCTGCCTCCTGGGTTCAAGCGATTCTCCTGCCTCAGCCTCCTGAGTAGCTGGGATTACAGGCACCTGCCACCACACCCGGCTCATTTTTGTATTTTTAGTAGAAACGCGGTTTCACCATGTTAGCCAGGCTGGTCTTGAACACCTGACCTCATGATCTGCCGGCCTTAGCCTCCCAAAGTGCTGGGATTACAGGTGTGAGCCACCATGCCCGGCCAGGTTGGTGATTTTTTTTAAAGAGAGTTGGTCCCTTGCAGCTCCCAGTCATTCACAGGCCTCTGCCCCATCCTCTGTCCACATGGAGGCTGGGAGGGCCGCAGGGAGGGGCCTGTCCAGTGTGGCTGCAGCTCTTCCCAGGAGGGAATCCCTGTCTTCCAAAAGTTTTCTTTCCCCTCCTCTGGCCTTTCAGGCTGAAGGAATGAAAGCTCCCTCTTTCTAGGCTGAAAAACAGGTAAACAACATGTAATTTATGAGCACCATCAGCCCAAAGTGCATAAGTCATATGTGCACAAAGGGGCCGGGTAAATATTTAAAGATTAGAGCCAGCTGGGGAGAAATACAAAAGCCTGGGGCAATGGGGGTCTTTCTGAACTCACTCTCCCCGAGCTGGGCCAGGTCAGCGTTGATGCACTCACTGGAGTCCCAGCCTTTGTCATCTGAAGGGCCCTTGTCTGCTGGGCTAGTGGGAGTCCCAACACAGCTAAAGAGAGTTAAACAATCGCAGCCTCTCCAACCGCATCTGGAGACAATTGGCTGAGTCATTTCAGAGCTTTTGCTGTGTGTCCCAATAGTTAATTACGTGGAGCAATCACTTCATATCACTTTGAAATGCATCTGCAGAGGGGGACAACAGATTTCTCCCTACACCTACAAAAATATAAGAAAAAAAGGGAAAACAGCTCTGCCTGGCATGCCTTGCTTGCCTTTTCTCGTAAATAAGCATTTGAATGTGTTTTGT